AAATAACCACTGAACAAGTTATTACTGTTTATAACACTAAAAAGGTCAGAAATTATTAAGAGAATCACTATGTGAAGTTGTTTGACATCTTTTTAGTACATAGAGAGAAAAAAAGTCACACTTGTAAATCTAAGCAATGTATCATATTTGATATTAATTTACATTATCTAAATTAAAACATACCTTGAGGAAAAATTAACTAACATCATCCTGGCAAAATGTACAATGAAATAAGATGTTTTCTCTATTCTTATATATTAGATAATATGAATAATTTGCAGAAAATAATTTTTTAAACAAGCATACAAAAATAAAAACGTACATAACTTGCACAGAACATGGCAAGGATAAACATACACAAAGCTTCATTCACAGAAGCCTGGATCAATGACACTTCGCAAAAAAGATGTCAGAACTCGAAGAATGTTTCTTAAAGATCCACTGACAAATATGACATGAAACATTATAGATTTCTACGGCTTTTTATATTATTTCATATATAGTCTACCTTAAACTGAGATATATAACACATAATAAAAATGAACTTGATTCTGTAATGACAATTTCAGAGCTAGAAACAAATTCCAGGTATAAACATCAATTCCATAACCTTTAACATGCCATTTAAGACATATCATGCACTTACATTTACGGAACCAATCAACACAGGGTCCTTGTATTTAATGATTAAATTAAAATCATTTATTTTTATCCTTTTTAAAAATTTAAAGAAAATTTAGAAAGAAAAATTCACGTATTCAAACTATATACACTTCATTCTACCTAATCCTAACAATTCAAGTCAATTTTTACACAGAAGTGAACTGCGTGAAACTTGACATTTTACTTAGAAGCAATACCATCTCTTTTGAAATTCACTGCTTTAATTCGTGATGACAAATTGTAATTTTAATGAAGATTTTTAAATGAACAGTCAACAAAATCTGAATAGAGGAGTCAGTAGTTACAACACTGATTTAAGCTACAATACAATATACTTGAAAAAGAATTTTTTAAAATACGCATTACAAACTCTGGCTACATTACTCTAAGAAATGTGATGTTCTTCATTTAGAAAATTAAAGTTTCTCATATTGCAAGTATCACAAAAAAAAAAAGTACACACTGCTAATCCCACCAGGTGAATAAAAATATACCCTAATAATAGGTTTCAACCAAAAGGAATCCTTAAAGATATTTATAATCTAAACACGATTTTATAGAAAAAGACAAAAGGTCAAATAATATTCCCAAGGTAACACAGCACTTGGACCTTTAAATAAAGATTCAAACTTCAATCAGTAATAACGTAATTCAGTAATCAAGACCCTTCGAAACAAATACCCTTTCAAGATATTTTTTCCTATACTCAGAAGATAGTGCTATTGATTTAAAAAGAACTAATGTAATATACAACACATAATCCTGATTTTAAAGATCAGAAAACTTTTTAAAATATCAGATTCTATAAAAATAGTGAAATTCTTCACCATTTTCCCAGAGTGACATTCTACAAATTACTTAACCACATTCAACCAGGAAACTGTACGCAGACTTCATTATACACACTGGAGAAAACCAGTATGTTAAACTACTACGTTTCCCTTTTTTTAAAAATTTAGTAATGAAGGGTACTGGAAAGGAAACAACGCCCTTGAAAAATATAAAACTACTGTTATTTAACCATTATTTGTTTACAATGAAATAACCCATGCTGGGCTACATATACCACTTAAGAGATGGCCTGGCTACTTACTCTGAAGTAGCCCCTACCCTGACCCCAGGAGTTCTTGTGGAGGAGCATCTAACCAACTAGGAAGTAAAAGACAGGGCAACATTTACAATGGTGAAATCTAGGATTCAGGAATGTGCCTTATTCTTAAAAGTAAATCTGACTTTAAAATCACTGTTATGCTCTCAAATTTAAGGAATATAGTTAAACATACTACTACATATTATAACAAAACTCTTAACATACCAAAAAACCCACATTTAAAGTATCATACTACTCCCTAGTAAAGTGTCTTTTTCATTTCTGACTAGCGCCATTTGACACTAAATATCAAAAATTTTTAAGGTTTAAACACACATTTATCACATTCTTCCACAAACCATCTCCATTCAACCACACATTTATGTTCTATCTCTCATTCATAATCTAATTTGTAATTATAAACCCACCCCCAATCATTAATGACTATTAATTCATTGTGACATTTAGCAGTTGTTATAGTTTACACGTAACACCAACTTTCTGAAATTTGTATTTTCGACAAGTACATTTCTGAATAAAATGTGACAGCATAATTTCAATTAGTATTTGAGAAACAAAATCCAATTCAGATACTGTCAATGTTGATCACTGTTCTATTAAATGGCAATTCTAGGTAAAACAAATATTTTTCCCAAATTACTGATACTGTAGGATTCAAAACAAATATTTAATATCTTCCAATGAATGCTCAGCACTGATTTTAAGCATAAAAATCCAAAAACTCAAAAATAACAAATTGAGCTTTATGAAATACAAGTGAACTGACAGCTTTTAAAAAACAGAATCTGTCAAGAAGAAAATGAATACATTCATTCTCAAAATAAAAACAGAGAAATTAACAAAATACATTGCTAAAATAAAACAATTAGGAAAATGGGATATTCATTTTTATTTTGTGCATGTTAATAACAGCATATGAAACCTAAATCATGCAGACTTTAAATGCAGTGTTTCAAATCATTACACAAAAAGAAACATGTTATTGTGATGTTATACTACTAATAATGTTTCATATTATCTTTTTAAGAAAAGAATTATGGGAGTATGGATGACAAAATCACACTTATTTAGAAAAGCTAACACTATTCTTTATTTTTATATCTACAAGTTTTAAGAAAATGGCATTCAAATGTCTTCCTTGGTATACTTTTCCACAAGGAAAAATAATGACTGAGCCACAAAATTGTTTAACTGGACAAAAACACTAAAAACTTGAGTAACTAGGAGTTCACAGATGCTCCACTTGACTCACTCAGAAGCTGACTGTTCCCAGGGTAAACTTGGTAAGAACTGGAACAAGGACTTTCTCGATGAAGGGAAAAAGCTGTGTAGAGCTCTGTTCTTGGAGCCAGAATGAGCCGGACAATAGAGTGTTCAGATTAGGGCATCTCTTTGTGCAATGCTTTCAAATGTTCTTGAAAGAATCATACAGAATTTCACAGCCTTGGCCAAAGTTAGCTTGGTATTAACATCAAGGACAAAGTTTCTCCCAATCTTAATTCAGTTTTGAAGCAAAATACAATACTAAAAATTCCCTAAAGATTTTAGGAATAAAAATACAGATGACGGGAAAGGTATATTCAGGTGCAGCAGATATCACTTAAAAATTACAGCTGATGTTACAACTCCCCACACTGCAATTAATGTCACAAATCATAACAAATTACACCCCTTGCCAACTCACATTCACAAAAAATGTGATGAGAATAGTCTATTATTTTAAAATCTCCTTATCGTGTTTTCAAAGATTTGCCAAAAACAATAGAATGTCGAAAATTTTGGAAAATTCCATCCATATTGTGTCTAAAAAAATAGAACATAAAATAGTACATAAGAAAACTCTGATACAAAAGCATGCATCTCAAGCATGCCTTATACTCAACTGCTTTTATGCAATCTTAAGTAACCAAACTTCTTTCAAAGGATGCCTTCCAGCAAAAACAGAAACCACGCCTGGGTAATATTTACATACTGCTCACTTTTTTAAAGCACATTGTTCTTCAGAAAAATGCTAAAAGCATGGTACAGTAACACACTGAAATGTTACATGAGAAGTAACTGTGCTACAACCAATGCCTGATACCTTAGAATTGTGGCTTAAATACATGATTCCTCAAATGTAATTTTAAGTTAAACATGGCTAACATAAAAATTTAAATATAATGAAAACTCTGTTTGGAATAAAAATCCTAATGTGATGTTTCTCCATACTACTGAAAATCAATCTTCAAAACATAATTGACAGGAAAGAGATCTAATCTGACTGCCGTAACACTCACCACATGAACCGTATTTCTAGGAAACAAGCACACCTCGCCTGTCCGACAGCAGAGCCTCCTGAACATTCACGGCCCTGCAGTCAGGCTACCTTGAACATTTCTGGAAACAAACATGCTCAAGAAATGCCCAATTTCTTTTAAATATCACAGCAAATTCCCAACTAACATTCTAGCTAATGCTATTTATTGATTTTAAAGAAAATTTTAAGAGTAAGATCTAGATATTGACACCAAATAAATAACAGCCGATAAGATTAAAAATAGATATTTTATAAGCACAAGAGATTTGCCTTCAAACATTTTTTTTTCAAGATTCAAAAGATTTATTTGGAAAACTCAGCACAAGACAAAGATATCCTTAATATTCCTCCTCAGAATATTTGAATATTCATAATCTGTATGAAATGTAGACAGCAACTCTGATTTCACAGGACATCAATGGTGCATACAGGTGTAATCCCCACACCCTCCCTCCCCCGCGTGCTACTCTGCCCCTCACTGACATCAGTTTTCACTAAGCTATATTCAGGGCAACTTGCACAAACTAAAAAGCAGAAAATCATTGTCATTTGTAAATGGCTGGGGTTAGTTAAAGCAATCAAAAGTATTACCATTACAGCAAAATTTAATAAAACTGTAAGAGAATACCACTAATGACAGTTTAAAATTATCCAAGATGATTTCTTTATTGAGATTAACTACACAGAATTCACAGTACTGTGGCATACTTATATTTAGCTAAAGTCACAAACACATTTGAACATTCACAATGATGAGTATCATCATTACCATTCTAATCTACAAAGCTTATGAATAAAGAAAAATACAAAAACTTCAAGTATTTAAAAAAAAATTTTAAGTCTACATACAATAACAATAAAACTTTTATTCTAGGTAACAGGTAAAAGTTATTTTTCTCCTCTAAACAGTCATGAATAAAAGACTGTCTAGTATCTACGACGCTTGTTAGGGCCTTCGAAGTTGGCCCCTTGGCTCCCTCTACCAAAACCACCAGGACCACCACTAACAGGGCCTACGCCACTCATCGGTGCTTGAGGGGTTTCAGAACCTGTTCTACTACCCATAGGTGATCCCATCTGAGACGGTGGTCCTTGCGGAAATCTATCATTGTGCTATAATACCACAAAACAAATGTGAAGTCCATTTGGAACACGCCAAATATAAGTGACAAGAAAAATTGGCACAATCCCAAGTGGTGGTGTCATGAAGTTCAGCAGAAAGTCCAGCAGAATCAGGATCACACATAGAAGGAAGAAAGGAGCAATTTAATTAGTTACTATGTTTTAAAAATAAAAAATAAAAGAAGCATCTGAATGAAGAGTTACATTTTGCTAATGCTATGTCCCCAATTTCATGAAAAAAGAACTGATTTTACAAAGTGAATGCCATCTTAAACCTAGTTATTATTTTACTGTTCTGATCTCTCTTTTTATTTATTTTTCTCTTGGCCATGCCATATGTGGCTTGTGGGATCTTAGTTCCCTGACCAGAGAATGAACCCAGGATCACAGCAGTGAAACCACACAGTCCTAAACACAGACTGCCGGGGAACTCCCTCTCTTTCATTAAAGTTTATACTGCATGTAACAGTTTGGTTAATAAACGTACTGTGTTTTAAAAATGAGAGACAAAACTGAGGAGCAGCATCACATTGTTTGAAAAAGTACTGGGTTGGCCAAAAAAGTTCATTCAGGTTTTTCTGTGCCATCTTATAGAAAAACTCCAACAAACTTTTTGGCCAACACAGTAAATATTATAAAAATTTCAATATAATGCATTTAACATAGAAAGTACATATAAAAACAGTTATAGTTTCAGTATGAAAACTTTCAAGGTGCTTTTCTATAAAGACTATTACTGGGAAAATAGTTTTTAGAAGTCAACAAAAGGCAGAATTAAACACGAATTATGTATTCTGAAAAACTTCACAGTAATAACTACATATCGTAATCTCAAAGGTTGGACAGAACTCCCTATAAGCAGTAGTAAAATACCACTGTGAAAGACTAAGGGGGATATTTAAATAAACGTTACCATTTCTGTGTGAGGTAGAGAAAAGCAGACCTGTTACTTTTACTAAGTCTCTGCTGATTACATGCTACAGAAAACTTTAACCAAAGTATTTTTACAAGTTTTTACTAGCTCTCAGACACTTTACTATGAAATTAGCCTCCAATGAAGGACACAGGTACACTGATCAGTATGTAACACCTGATCTGATCACAGTCAGTATTATGTTACTGCCTCCTTATCTGTGTAGATACTCATTTTAAAAACCTGTTAGCATATCCAGTTTGTCCAAATTCTTAAAGGACTATATTTAAAATAAATAAAATTTAAAATAGAATACTGCATCCATCAGTTCTAAGACCCACATTCACTGCTTGCGTCTCTTGAGATCAGGAGGGTTTAGGGCTGATGGCAGGTCTGAGTCTTAACAGCAACACCTTCTCTTTCTCAGCAGCAATGCTATCTTCTATTCCAAAACTGAGCTTCCTTTTTCAAATACACAGTCAACTATTTCCCCTTTCTTAATGTTACTTAGGACAACCATTAACAAAAACCAAATAAGAAAATGTTTTACCAATATAAAGTCTCATTTAGATAGTGACAGACTTTAAGGGAAAAGAAAAATGCTATCAGTCTTGTCACTGATACTTAAAATATGAAGTACAACTAAAAAACGTTTTTATAATATGTAACCCAGACAAAGATAGCTTCACACTCTCAAATCAAGATATGAAATTCCCTAAATTTAGTAATAAATGTAACTGAAATTACTAAGTCTATTTAGTGAGAATGCAATATCAATATGTTTAAAATATACTTTAAAACTTTAATGTAAATTTTTTTTACAGTTAAATTCTCTGAAATTATTCGTAAGTGATCTTTTTAAAAAAAGACAGAAAACTGTGTTTCCATACATATTGGGGCTTCATACCTCACCAAGGTAAGGAATTCAGAGGAGAACACAATCACAAAATACTAGAATGCACACTGAATGCTGGTTAAGAGGTGTATACAAATGAAAATCACTGTAAAATGACTGTAATTAACATACACATCTGTTATACACTCGTATACAAAAGCATGCCGTGGATCATAATCCTAACTCTTGAGATAATAAAAAAATGCCTCTCATAAATCAAAATCTAAGTTCATAATATTACCTTTTCTTCATTGGACATTGATCTTTACTGACAAAACAAATGATGCCAAATTATGTCAAGTGTGAAGTTACCTTTGGGGCAGAAGTAAATTCTACTGATATAATCACAATAATGTGCATGATACATTACCACTGCTCCATTATCTGGCATCATTGGAGTTCCCATATTTGCAGCTCCTTCTGGCCCCATGGCAGGACCAGGACCCATTGGCGGGCCAGGAATAGTTCCTCTGTTGTTCATATTCATACCCATCATTGCAGGAGGACCTTGGTTACCAGCAGGTGCTGGGCTAAACGCATCTACGCAAAACAATCTATACTTAGAGCTGTCCTATCTTAGTTGAGTAAACATTTAAAATTTAACAGTACTTAGGCAATCTATATAACAAGAATACTATCAAAATCATTTTACTTCCTTAAGAATGGGACACTCAATTATTGACTCTGATAGAGCATTACATTTGCTAAACAAATGTACATATAACAAATGAGGAAACGATCAATTATTTTATGTCTGAGACTATCAAAGCTTGAAAAGTTTTCTTTAAAACATCAGTATTATTTGCTGTAGTCTGCTTTTTAATCTAATTAATACTCCCTTACGAGTGAAGAAAGTATGACAACTCTCTACCAGTTTAAATTAACAGCAAAGGATTAGCACTTACAAAACCACTTTTCTTATAGTTATGACTAAAAATACTAGCATGTAAACTATACTAAATTGTGATGGGAGAAACCACATCCTCATATATAGATTAGTGTTTGTGTTTGTGTGTGTGTATGTGTATATAGTGTGGATGTGTGTGTGTACATTATACACACACACACACACACACATATATATAAAGTTGATTGTAAACAAATTGACTTTTACATAGTTATTGAACATCTCCCAAAATTACAGGAGGTACTCTTTATATAGAAATATGCAATAGAAACAAACTAAAAAATTGAAATGACTCATCATGACAAAACTTATTTCTAAAAGCAAATGCAACCAAATACAGATGAAATATTGATACAGCTATGTGAATTTTTTTTTTTGACATACTGACATTCTGGAAATGAGAACAGTCGGATACCTCAAATTTTTTTTCATCAAGACATCCACCCACCTGCCTCATGTTAACTATAATAATGTTTAAGCTGTAATACAACATTTATAATGGCTTCAAATACATTTTTAGGTATCCTCTTGGAACTTTAAAAATTTTTAAACTAGTTATACTTATCTTAAAAATTCATGACAAAGACTGAATTTTCTTCTAGTATTATCTAGTTAATTTCATGACATTCAGAACTCAATTTCTCAATAACACATTATAATAGGAGTGGAAGTTGTCATTCAAATTCACAATTCAGTATCCAATGAAGCTCAACTTTGCACAAGGCTGAGTCCAGGAGCAGCTGAGGGAGGAAGTCTGACTTCCCGTTGTCCCTGGCAACATACTCTGTGGCTCCTTCTGAACCCAATTCCCAGACCCCAACCACTTCCTGGAAAAGAAGTAGTTCCTTAATCCCAAAAAGTTCTCACTAGTAAATCTACACTTGAACTATCCAACAATGTTTCTATTCCCTTAGAATAGCTACAAATCAAATTTTTACTAGACTTCTACAACTTTTCCCACAAGCAAAATGATTAAGGGCAGAGGCATGATCCAGGAGGAATCCTACCTCAACTTTCCCCAAAAAGAACAGATCAAGGATTACGGCTGTTTTTGTTTTTTTTTTCTCCTTTTAATAAAACATAATTATCACACCTAACTTCTAAGATACAATATAACTAATACAAGTATGGGTATAATAAAATAAAAGAAAAATATTTTCAAGTATCAATAGTTGAAGTACTCTTATTTTTAGTAATTATGTTCTTCTACCAGATGACTGTAGTTAGACTAAATGCAAAGATCTAATAAGGAATGTTAGAATTATCTGGTCCCCTGAAAAGCAATTTTATAAACTGTGCTCCACGTGGAGTATATGATAACATACCAGAAAACCTACTGTCACATTTCATCTATGTAACTTGAGAGAATATGACAATTTACCAACTGAACAGTGACATTCAATGCATGATAAGGACTTAAAAGTCATAACTCTCACTTTGAGGATAAACCCTCAATCTGAATAAAATGTAAAGAGGAGAAAATTAAATGGAGTGGACGTTAGGGGAGCTAATTAAGTGTTAAAACACGGTTATTTAGTGAATAAAATGCCATCAAAACTTTTAAACCTCTTAAATTCCTAACTAAATAAGAAATCTAAAAGTATATTCTCCCATTTCTTCTAATAAAGTTGCTCATCAAATCAGACTGTTTTCATGGTCCCTAAAACATCAGAAATATTTCAAGTTTGGTTCTGATGTTAATGACAATCTAATAATTGTAATGGCATTTCAAACTACCTGTAAATGGCATTTCAAACAACCTCACACCGAAAATCCTTAAATCCACCTAGATTATATAATACACCAGTCCACAATTCACTCTGAAAATGATATAAACACTCAACTACTTGTACATCACTATACCCTCAACTGTACTACCTGATTTAAAATTTCTCATGTACTCTTGGTTCTCTCATGATTTTTTTCATGTACCACTGTACTACATTTGTACTACACAATTAAGTTCTTTGGGTTAAGGGCAATGTTTTGTGCTTCCTTTGCATCTCAGAGATGGTCAATAACTAGTTTCTTTGCAGATAAGAAAAATAACAAAAGGAAACAGCAGTTGTCTTAAATGATTTAGATTAGCTAATTGGCAAATGGCAATAAACTGGCATGGTGGGAAGCGGTCGGTCATGGAAAATGCTCGACCTACATATTAGATGCTTTCAGATTTCTTATTCCACACACCGTGCATACATTCTAAGCGCAATGTGTATCTCCTCATTCGAAGTGCACTGGAGTGTTAAGGTGATGTAATCCTTGCAACAGTATGTACATTTGACTTATGTAGATTTAAGCTCAGCTTCTGTGAGACAATGTGAAACTAATATATAAAACTTAATTATCTAAATCTCAAAGGTTATGACAGTTAAAATTTAATAAAACTTATGAAAACACCCCACTTATGCTTCTCTAGCTTATTTATTTGGTATTGCTCCCCTTACCACCTGGGCAGACAAGCAATCAATATTAAAGTGCTACTATGAACATTTTCTTAGAAACTTCACATCAATTCTAAAGATATACATGAGCTTAAATATGTAAGATATATCTCATTTACTTGACAAGTCACACATGTCTCCAAACAGTGCATTTCTGTGCATGATACTGTGGGCTAGGGAAAATAAGTTAAACATTCAGTAAAATGAATAAAAATAGCTTCAAAGTTAAGCAAAAAGTTATGTTAAAATAGAAATGTATAAAATACTCTCAAAAAGTTTAAAGACACTGTAACTCAGAAGCTAGCAAAATTCCAACACCAAAAAGCCAACTGCAGGGCATGGAGTTTGATTTTTAAAAATACAACAACATAGCTATATTATACCATGTGATGACTACAAGTTTCAGGTTGTTAATCAAAACCTGTTTACAGGTTTCTTTCGTTGCATCTATTAAAACATAATACATTTTTTAGCCTTCAAATAAACAAAATAAAATTATTCTTCCTAGCATGTATTTTAAATATACTGATTTTTTTCTCAATAAATGTAGAAAATTTCACCACTTACAAATGTTGGTTTCAAATTTTGTTACTGACATACCACAAATAGCATGTATAGTTCCCTGAAAAATGACAAGTAAGTGACAGAAGCCTGTGCTTCAAATCCCTACCTCCCATGTTTATTGCTCCACGGGGACCCATATCACCCATTCTCATTTCCTGTTCTCTCTGTAAGTAAACATAGTTGTCACAGTCAACCTATCGATCTTAGGACTTAACATTTCCCATCTAAAATTAAAAAGAAAAAGATAAATTGGGACATAATGTTCCATTAAAATTTTAAATTTCCAACATCATTTACTTAATAAGAACACTGAAAAGAAACTTCACTCTCACAGCCTTAATTAAACATATTACAAATGGTTAGGGCATCCAATTTATACTTCTATATATTACCAGTGAGTAATACATAAAATCTATTACATGACATTTTTAATGTTATTCTTCCAAGAGATCATAGACATGCCTAGATTCTAGAAGAAGAAAAAATCTAGTAATAATAACTAAGAAGACCAATTATTTCTCCCACCTAGGTCTCTAAAGTCTTAAAACAGAAATGACCATTACCACTTTCACATTCAAATGTATTCAAACGCACAATACAGCTGTGGGGCCCTAAGCCAAAAATAAGGTTATAGACAATTTTCATTTTTGCAATACTTTAATTCACCTTTGCATTGTTCTTCAAGTCCTCTGGTATTATTTCACCAGGTTTTTCAGATATACCATAAAGTCTCCACTACATACAAGCAATTATTGAAAGCTCAACATAATATTTCTTCCTTTATCTGAATAAGAATTTTTTTAGAAACTGAAATAAAGTGTTATCACACAGTCCTCAAGTTCTGAAACAAAATGCTCTTGAGGTTACCTATGACATAAAAGGCCACACAAATGTACAAAACATCTTAAGTTTCAGTACAAAAACTATTTCCTAAAAACTCATTTACCAACAGTTACATAGAACTTCAGTGAAATCTCTAGGTGAAATTACTCAACATATTGTAATTGAAATTTACACTATTATTTAATGATCTTTTCCAATACCAGACAAGTGTTACAAGTAGCAATCATAAAAAAATTCCAAGTGAAGTCTAAATCTACAGAAAGCATAATGTTCTTACTTTCAAAAGCAGTTTTATTAGAACGGGTTGGTTTTAAAATACTAGTGAAAAGTACCTATAAAGCTAGAAATGAAGGAAATAAAAAGCCTATAACGGAGAAACACCACTACGCAGCAAGTCAACTGCCCATCTAACCTAATGTAGGTGCCTTTAAAGCTAACCCATAAGGAAGCTACGACACAAGAAAAACACGACTTACATAACAGTTCCATGAAGAAATGTTTCTCATTGCCCAGAAAATCTGGATACTAAAGCTTTCTCAAAGTAAATGTTTAACTTTCCAAAAAATAAATTTGTTTCATCATAAAACATTTGACTGTTAACAGGTAGTATTACTGACCACCAAGAAAGCTATTTTATAAAACTGATTACCAATTAAATCATGTAATTCTGAAAATATAGGGAAAATACTATTCTATAATCACACTTCACACTATTATCAATAAATTAAGCCAAGCTCTCATTTCCTCAGCGTAGAGCCTTCTGGTAACGTGTGGACTCTTTCAGCAAACCCAAAATCTTAAACGTTATTATTTACAGGAGCTACTTCTTACAAAGAGCTGGCTGCGCTCCAGTACCAGAGTAAAATACATGGATTTTATGGTCCCAACATGTTGGAGGTAACAAAGGTTTAACTTATGTTTTTACTCTTGATTTGCCTTAACTAAGAAAGACTAGGTAGGCAATAGCTAATCACTGACAGACAGTGATTATTAGTCTCACTGAGACTTCAATTTTCAATCCCCCTATATATTCCAGCACCCATACTCAATGCCTGCGATTCATGGTGGGGCAACAGAGAAATCTTTTTTATTGTTTAAACCTCTTTATGATTTCAGCATTACCTGTCACCTTCTGAAACAGTGTTTATCTTTATCATTCATAAAATACTTTTAAAAAAACGTATTAGTATGTTTCCTTCATTAACAGAGTTTTGTGGAAAGCGTATTAACATACTGAAGAGATCTATGGTTTTAAGTCAACTATTCAACAGAGGCCGAAACAGTCCCCTTTTGATGCTCTGTTATAAACTAGTTCCAGTTCTAAAATATCTTTAAATGAGACAATCAGAATGTCATAATAGTCTAAGGTAAGGAGGTCATTGGGTTAGAGTAACAATTCATACTATGTATTATACCATTTTTCACTAAAAATGCATAATTTGTTATTTCCCTAAAGAAAACTGCTGAGTACTGGTTTACATATAGCTATAATCACAAGTTTAAGAAAAGAGATAATACAGATGACAGATCAATTTTTAACTAATTTAGAAAAAGTAAAATTTTCAGCTCCATAGTCGTTATTTTAAGGTTATTGTAATTACACTTTCTATAATCCCACTGCTACATACTTCTAGTAAAATGCAAGAGGCAGGGATAATATCTAAGGGTAATGTCATCAAAAGAAATTAGGACAGTCCTTCTCATAACTTGATATATTGAATATCAATAAGGAGAAATCACTTGAAGTTCACTGCAACTATGTACCCATCCAAAAACAATACAAAAGACCCTCACCGCTTCTGCAAATCCTTCTATTATGTTTTAAATTGGAAGTGATACATGTGATATTTTTATAACAAATTTTAATGACACTTTATTACTTAACCAAAATTATCATGGTTTAACAGGCAACAACTTATATGTAAACAAAATCTCAAAAGATTGCAGTGCTATATAAAAGGAGAAAGCTAGGATGACAGTTTTAATTAATTCAACAAATCCTCACAGCAACCCTATGAAGGTCAAATGTCATCCTATTTTAGAGATGATAAACCTGAGGCCCAGCATTGTTCAATAACTTATGTAGGGTCATACGTGTAGCAAAGTGGTTGAGCTAACCTATAAAAATCTGCCCAAATAGAGTTCATGGAAATATCTTCAGAAGGCACCTTCATTCTTCAAGAATCTCATTAAGGACTAACAAAAGGCAATGGTTTTTAGTATGTTTTTACCATATCATTAAGAAGGTGTTCCTTTTGATTGTAAGAATTACGCATATGTATTTTTGAAAACTGGTTAGTGAAACATGCTTAAGTACACAGTTGACCAAAAACAAAAGTACAGTTGATCCCAGAGCCATATTGTATCAAAGCAACAATTCATTAACACAGAGTTCTCAAGATGTGGTTCATGGAGTGAAAAGATCTCCCAAAACGCACCCAAGACGTGCACAAACTCAAAGCTACTTCATCAGAACACAGTTCTGGGCTTTCCACTGAGACACTCTAGGACATGATGCAAGAGCAATGGTGGGCAAAAATCCTACTGTTAAGAGCACAAAGCAAGGCATGTGCACTCAATTTTTACTAGTAATCACTGTACTCTTCACATTACAATTGCAGTTAAATAACTTCAGTCACGGCCTCCTGGGCCAGAGCACATGGAAAAGACTAAAGATTAGATTGTAAGAAAAGAAAATAGAAGCCACATTTCAAAGACCTGTATTTTATTTTCATTCGTTGTGGCTGAGTCAAGGCATATGGGATCTTAGTTCTCCAATGCAAGACCAATGCAAGAGTGGAGTCTTAACCCCTGGACCACGAGGAATGTCCTTAAAGACCTGCAGTACAGGTACAACATGGGTCAGAAACAGCTATCAGTTTGTTTCACAAAACATCTCTGAATTGTGCAGTTACCTGGTTGAGTAGGTCAGAACCCTGTCACGAGACAGGTGAAAGGGAAAAAACCCAGTCACAGTATTTTCTCTAGCAACAAATGAGATGTGGTTATCAGGGCAAATGAAGCCTATCAAATGGGTGACATCAGTCAAAAGACAATTCCGACCGGGCTTCAGAGACGCAGCACATCAGTTTTTTTAAAAGAGGTGTTGAATTTATATGGAAGGGAAAGTAGACTATGGCAAATATATGGATGAAAGAAATGTGAGACGACAAGCAACAACAATTACAGCTAATATTAAATTTCTAAGTGACCAGACAAAAGACAAGGAATAGAATGCATGATTCTTCTTTCGCCATTGTGTGGTACAGTCTTATTTCCAAATCATGACAAACAGTATTTACACTTGTATAAGAATAAGAATTAAGATACTTTTTTTTAAAGATACTTTTTTATATTAAAAAATAATTTCAACTATGAACACCTGGATGAAATAGTAAAACAGATTAATTTTATGAACTTTCTATCTTTAGGTACATGTCTTTAATTATTCTATGCAACAAAATAGATGTCTACATTAAGAATTTCTGCTGCATTCTGAAATAGGGTGGGTTATTTCAAGAAAACCACTGCTGTGACTGGGCTGCAGCTGAGTAAGACACATTTTCTTGAAGCAAGATTATTACTTGAGACAGCATCTGACAAGGAGATTACTGACTTGTGTAATTTCTCATGAGTGGTTGGTATTAAGAAATGTGACTTATTTTAATTTTGTATAACAAAATATATTAACATTTAGATAGTTGGTGTAACTCAACGGATCACTATTTTTCTGTTTGGTACATTACAAACTCATGCATAGGAAAACAATCCACTCGTAGTTAAGGTAGACTAATGGATTCTAATGCAAAAGAGTACTTTTAAGAAACTACTGCTTGTCAAGTTTCACTGCAATATCAAACAAGAATATTTCAATTATCTGAAAAAGTTAAAATATATACACTTGTCTCCATTTACTTATCCAAGTAAAACCAGGTTTTCTTCATGCTCTTTGACCAAAACAGCAGTTTGCAACAGGTGGAATGCAAAAGCAAATATGGGAAGCCAGCCATTTTCTTATAAAGCCCAAAATTAAAGAAATTCACAATGGAGTAAAACAATACCACTCTTCCCACTACACAAAGTCGAGCAAGAGAGAAATTTGAAAAAACTGTAAAATAAGGCCTCTCTTTCCACTACAACACATTTTCTTCTAAATGTCTCTTTAAATGTCTCATATGGCATTGATATAATACAATTAAAACCTTTTTGGGGTCCTCAATAATTTTTAATAGCTTTTAAAAAAGGTTTGAAACCAAAAAGCTTAAGGACCACTGTTTTTAAGTTCCTGTCAATATTTACTCATGAAAAGGTAAAGTAGCAG